TTTATATGTATGTATGTATATGAAGGGACAAAGAAAACGCGATGTATTTTAGAGTCTCCTCTACTTGTTAAACGCTTAACACATGTGCGTGAAAATCCTTTTTCCTTTTATTTTTGGTTACGGAAAGAGAGCAGCGTTCGTAAAAATACACACATACGCACATACACATGCAATGCACGTGTAGCTGTTGTTTTTTTTTTTTGCCTGCCTGCCTGCCTCGCGAGTCGCACTGACAAACACACACACACACACACATGTGTACATATATACGATTCCGGAGTGTAGAATTATTTCTAACGCGTTGTTTTTTGCCTTTTTTTTTCTTTTCTTTTCGTATCTCCTTCCTTTCAGCTTGTTGATTGAAATGCAACACGCGCAACGCAAAAACAATTCCAACAACAACAAAATCGAACTGTAATTTAACTAGCAATTATCAAAATTTATAAGAAGCCATAAGTACAACAGAATTAATAATCCAAAAATCATTACCAATCGTTTAACTAGTGCAACCAATACAACTAAATCAAAAACTAAAATTCTAAACGGAATATTGTTAAATTCGTCGGAATACAATTTTCAAACCAACAACAGTCAGCGAAAATATAAGAATTATAAATTTAAAGAACACAGCAATAGCAAGCGTCCAGCAAGTAATAACAACAAGAGGAGAACAAGAAGAAGGAGAAGTCGAAGCAAAGATAAAGAATTTGTTTTTGCGCTGTCCAGTGAAATAAGAGAGAGGAGAGCGCTCGCTGAAGTAGCAGATAGAGTGAGAGGGAGAGAGAGAAGTGCTGAGCGGGAGAGAGACTGAGCGAGCGAGCGAGTGGAACAACTGTAAACGGCTACGAAAATGTCTGCGACAATTGTGCAAAAATCAACTGGAACTGCAAATATCGTTGGCAATGCACACTATTTCGAATGCGATGACATATTCCAAGGGGTAAGTCTCCACTAAACTGCACACTCTACAAAGAAAACAAAAGAATAGAAAGAAAAAAAACTATGTTCAGGATTTACACGCAAAACCCAATTTGTGTTCAATTGGAGCGTTTGTTGTTATTCTCTAACACACACGCCTACACATATAGAAATACGTATGTATACGCTCATAAGCATTTGCAATTCATTTCCGTCCCGTTCCGTTACATATTTCACTTTTCTTTTTGGTTTATTTTTACGTGTATCTGTATTGGTTTATTATACGCTGATTCATAATTATTTAGGCTCAACAATTTTACATTTCACCTAAAATGCATAAATGTTTGATAAGCCAGAGCGGAGTACATTTAGTTCGTGATAATAATTGAGTGTACAGGTGGCAATTTTCCAGTCTTCCAGTCCTGTCTCTGACTGTATAACACATTAAGCATTGCCGTCATCAGACAGCATCAGAAAATCACCCAAAAACAAAAAACAAAAGCTAATGATCAAATGTATGTATTTAAGTCTCTGTGACGTCGGCGCCGGCGTCGACGCCAACGCCAGTCATAGCAGCAGCTGTTATTATTTTGTTGGCCGCTGATCGACAACAAATTCGATTAAGTCCGTAAGTTCCGGGTTTGGATTTTCGTTTAGTTTTTTTTTTTTTTTTTTTTTTGCCTTTTGCTTTTAAGCTCTGAGGCTGAGAGCTGAAAGAAAACAAAGTTAATAAAAAAAAAGAGCTTCAAGTTTAAAGTTATTCGCCGCAACTCGATTGCGGTTACGTGCAAAGTTGATACCATAAACAGGGCGAATTAGTGGCGTGCTTCCAGCGGGGGAGGAGGAGTTGTGCTAGCTTTTATTTTGCTGCGTACAAAGAGAAAAACAAAAAAAAAAATCAAAAGAAAAACAAATAAATAAGTAAAATAAAAACACGAGTGCAGTGCCGGACAGGTCAAGTAGAGCCCAACTATGTATGCATGTACATACATACATACATATGTACACATGTGAACAACAAGCACTCATACAGACAGAACCACACAGACATTTGTCACAGGTTGATGTCCGACAAAAGTTGCAAGTTCTTGTTTTTGTTTTCAACTTTTCGTATGTGATTTCATTGGGATTGGCCGAACTTTGCTAGCGCACGCAAGAATTATAGTTGGTGCTATCGATTATTGAGCGATTGCCCGCGATTGCTATACATATGTATATTGCAATTCCAATGGAAATGTATTTCGATTTCGGTTTTCATAATCGCAACCGCCTGGCACATTACGCAGCAGTTTTTTGCTGTTGTTTTTGTATTGTTGAACTGCATCAGTCGGTAGAGGCAAGTGGGCAATAGCAGCAAATTGCTGCCGAAAGCGAAAGGGCGCAACTCACTCAAATTTACACATATACACACATATATATGCGCGCACACACTTACAGACACACACATACACATAACTGAAACTGAGACTGCTGCAACAAGCGATCAGAGGTACTCTGGCTGCGCTTGTGCTTTTGTTTTTCTTTCGGTCGCTGCTTCTGTTTGTTGTTTGGCCAGGCGACAAGTTTGTCAGCAACAATATCAACGAAATTCGCTTGAGCGGAGCAAGACAAACACGTTTTGCATTAGTTTTCGTTACGTTACGGCCAACAAAGATGCTTTGAAAAATATGTTGTTATAAATGTATGTAGGTATGTTGCTCAACGCCATACAATCGACTAACAATATACATATGTAAATATACACAAATATATTTGTTGGTCTGTTGCTATAAGTAATTGTAATTAAGTGATTGACTTGAAATTGGGGTTATGTTCAAAATGTTTAACCTAGTTTACAGTTAAAGGGCATCTACTAGTCAGACATTTTTTATTTGTTTTTGCATTTGCATGTTGTGGTTTTTTTTTTTTTTTTTTTTTTTGTCTGTGCGCAGAAAACGCGTTCACTTTATTTTATTTTATTTTTTTTTTTTAAATATTTTTCTTCGTCAGGTGGATGAAGCTGCTGCTCAACTGAAATTCACTTTTTCGCATAACTTTTGATTTCGTCGTCGTTGTCTCGCTGTTGTTACTTTTATTATGAAATTTATATGCACGGCTCCATGTTGTTGTTGCCTGGCTGCCTGCTTGCTTGGCTGGTTAATTTGTTGTTGTTTTTGTTGCTGCTGTTTGCGCCCAAAAGTAAAAATGCTTAGTTTGTTATATCAAACTCCTCAGCGCTTCGTAATCATATTACGTTTCATTTCCACATACATACATTCACACTCACACAAGCACAGGGCAAGCAGGGACGAAACTAAATGCAATGAAATGGGACGGGATGGGACGAGACGAAACGAGACGGGGCAGTCAGCTAGCTAGTCAGTTAGTCAGTTCATGCAGCGACCACTTTTTACGAATATAATTCCATTTCCTGCCAAGGCGATAACAAACGCCGTCGCGGCCGCTGCACTGGCGACACACACACACACACACACACACACACATGTATGCACAGTACACAGTGTATGTGTATGCAGGCATAAACTAAAAATATGTATGTATGTGTATGTCCCGGCGTCGTCGCCATTGCTGGTAGAGAGGCGACTACCTACCTAAGCAGAAGAAGAAGAAGCAGCAGCGGCAGCAACAGCTACAGAATAAGAGGAGGCGAAGGGCAATTCCAGCCTGGAACGTCAATTTATTTCATACGCTGCGATTGAATACGGTTCGATTAATATGCAGGTCCAGGCCTCAGTTCAACTTGCGTGTGTGTGCTGGAGTTGGGCTCACCCGCACACACACACACACATACCCAGACGCACACAACAGATCACAGGCGTAGCAACATGTTGCCAAAGTTGCCGCCATATGCAAGTTGCCGAATGTGCAAGCTCTGAGTGAATATGCATGCATACATGTGTATATACGTTATTTGTACTTATATGTATGCATGTCTCTATGCATGTGTGTGTGCGTGTTTTTTTGTTGTATTTCGCTGTTTTGTGTTTGAATGCAAGTTAACAGAAATACAAATTATAAATAAATTATTTGCGTGCCAGCTACTGACGTTTGCTGCTTATTATTATCGTTGTTCAAGTTGTAAAATAAAATTTAAAAAAAAAATATAATAAATGAACGGGCAAACGAGCTGAGCGAAATAAATAAATAAATACATATGTATGAGTTTGTACGAGTGTGTATGTTTGTCTGTGTGTGTATCAATACTGTGAACGTCTCTGCTTTTGTCTGTCCGTCCGTCAGCCCGTGTTGCTGAGTGAGTGTGTGCACTCGTGCGATGTCGTCGCTCATCGTTCGCTATCTCCCACACCAGCAGCAGCAGCAGCAGCTACGTATGAGCTCCAGTTGCCCTCTCGCTCACACGCTCTCATGCCACGCTTATTGAGCGAGAGGAGCCAAGCAAGCGCCTGCTTGCCTGCTCTCCTGCCTGCTGGCCTGCCTTCCATCTATCCATCCATCCATCCACTTCATATTCTATTGTCATTGCCTGTTGCCGTTATTGTTGTTGTTGCTATTGCTGTTATTGTAATCTTAAAAATTGTCTTCATATGCGCTTCACGATGATCATGTTGTAGTTGTTGCCTTGCTAATGGCCGCTCAATTGAGTGCCAAAGTACATACATATGAGTATGCATGTATATACGCATGCGTGTGTGTGTGTGTGTGCGTGTGCGTGTCTCTGTTATTTCTTGCGGTGGGGTCGCCGCGGTTTGTTGGGCGCCTTCAGGGACGGTCGTACAGAGAGGTAGACAGATAAAGGGGGGCTACGAAAATTGATCGAATCTTTAACTTAAATGTCATTAACTTGCAAATACTTTGTGGGGGTCAAGCGCTAAAGTACGACTACTTTACATACAAAACAAACCGTTTATCGTATTATGCATGCATATGTTTATGTTGTGAGTCGCCCTCGCTCTCTCTCTCTCTCTCTCTCTCGCACCCTCTCCCTCTCCTTTAAGTAGTCCAAGTAATCGCAGAGGTTAAGGTTAACTACGCGTTGATTACTTTGGCAATACATTTAAATTAATCTAGAGCTGAACGCAATTGCATTGAAAAATAAATAATCATAAAACCGAATACAACAAAAATCAAAATCAATATAATGTATGTAAATGCAAAACTTTAAAAAGCTTTGCCAAGCCTTGCTTTAGTTGCGTCTGTTGCCTTCAACATAACCTCAAATGAAACTGAGTTAACCTCAAAATTAAGTTGTATTGGTTTGTTTTTGTTTTTATTTTTATTTTATTTTTAATGAAATTAAAGTAAATATAAAAGTTGAGCTGTAAGCAAAGTTTCAAATTAACATGCTTTGCTTGTATATACATATGTATGTATAATAATATATAGCATATATAGAAATGTTGTATATATTTATTCAGTTGGATTTGATGAAATTGTTTTTAAATAACATTTGTCGTTGTATGTATGGATTATATGAAAATTGAAATTTAATTTTAGTGGATACAGAGTGTATGATGTATACACATAAATACATATGTGATGAATGTATATATGTACATATTTATGAATCACGCAGTACATACATCTGTACTTACATAGGTTATATGTTATACTATTTACAAGTATATAGGTACATGATATATGATATTTATAGCTATATATGATGTATATATCTCCATCAATCAGTCAATAACTTATCAAAATAGTATTTTATATAGTTATTTATATATGCATGCCTATACATATATGCCTTGTGGCCCCCGTGTTTAAAAATGTGACCCGGTTTGTGTTGTGTGACGCTGTTTATACAGTTTTTTTTTTTTTCGTTAATTTTTTAGGGTTTTTTCCGCTGCAATTATGAATTATTGTTACAATATGCGAGTATTTATTATGATTATTATTAACGTTTTTTTCTCTCTCTCTGTTGAGGAAAATGTTTTCGATTTCAATGCGGGCTGCACACAATGCGCCGCAAGGGGTGGGGGTGGCGGGGGTTGAATTGTCAGACCCCAAAACGCAGGCAATATACTTTTGTTTATTATTTTATTTTTGCTTGCAACATCA